AAACGCGAAGCCAGAGGGGATTGTGGTCCTCTCGTATGCATGTGCTTGGAGCGTTTGACGACAGGAAGTACACAGTTTCTACCTCCCACCGATAGAGATAGAGGTACAGTAGGCTTGTGGTTTCGGCATTTTATGGCTAGAGCGATATATTCGAGACGCTGCCTACCTACATCCGCGTTATGAAAGTGTCCATAAACAATTTGTAAGTCAAATGCAAGTGTTGTTAAGTACCTAGAATTCAATAATAATTTGCTGTTTTTTGGTTTTAGATGTGTAGAAAGTGTTATTTAAGCAAATGTTTGGTTTCTGCAGGTTAATCATGAAGTGAGCTGCGTGAAATTGATGTATGGGTGCATAAACAACTGTCTGGGGTACACTTTTCTTGATTGTTTAATTGATTCTTAAAAGTCTGATTTGTTTAATTGATGAGGAAAATAAGAATTATTATCATTTTTTGCTTGTTTAATTGATTTGTAAAAGTTGATTTGTTTAATATTGATGTGTAAATAATTCTTATTTGTGCTTGTTTAATTGATTGAAATGTAAAAGTTGATTTGTTGATTTCAATCTGCATCATATTGAAAACAAAAGACCTGTTGGAGGTACACTTTCGTAACGCTAAACTCAAAATCGTAATGCGAAAGACAAAATCGCAACTCGAAAGTCAATTCGCGTTGCGATAGTCTAATACGCTTTGCGATTTTCTCATTGCGATAGTCAAATACCCGTTGCGATAATCAAATTCGCGTTACGATACTCAAATTCGCGTTGCGATACTCAAATTCGCGTTGCGATTTTCTCGTTGCGATAGTCAAATAGCCGTTGCGATAGTCAAATTCGCGTTGCGATTTTTGCGTTGCGATAGTCAAATTCGCGTTACGATATTCAAATGAATGTGTAATAAGTGATAACAACTGAACATATCATAGCAATGTTCAAACTCAAGTTACTAATACATGTCTAACTGAAAATGTTAAAAGTTTACACATAAAATACACATAATAGTCAAATTCGTGTTGCGATATTCAAATGAATATGTAATAAGTGATAACAACTGAACAGATCATAGCAATGTTCAAACTCAAGTTACTAATACATGCCTAACTGAAAATGTTAAAAGTTTACATATAATACAACGTTTGCATTTAAAAATCACCTAAGTTAATAGTCCCAAAAGGTGAAGCCGGTTGTGATTGGGATTTTGATTGCGATTTTGATTGCCTTTTTCTTGACACCATATGAGCTTTGGATTTTGATGAGGATCCATATTTTGGTAGAGGAAAAGATTATTGTGATGGCACTGGTGATCCATGTGTCACCCTTGTATGACCAATTTCCTTGCACCGACTACATGTCGATCTCTTCTTCTCTTCACCCTTAGACGGTATATGATCGTGACTTTTTGGTCGGCCAGGTAGCCTTCTGTCCATGGCTGGTGGCAAAACTGTTTGTAAGTCATCTAGTATGTCCCACTCAAAAGGATGTGGAATAGGGTAGATAATATCGGCATAAGTCTGTCGATATACTTCTGTAATGTAGCAATCCATAGCGTATGCGCTTGAATCATCTTGGTTTAGATGAAGAGCAACTTTAATAACATGCCCACACGGATAACCAGATGTTTGTCATTTCATACAACTACACGTCTTTGCATTTAGATCGACAAACCCATTTAAGCTATTATCCAGTACTTCAAACAAAGTGTTTGAACATGGTTCAACTCTCCATGACGTTGACTTCAAAACACGTTTCTTTATCTTTTTTTCAGTCCATGGTGTAACACGATGTTCCAATGTTCCTGTAAATTTAAATAAATAATACTTAGTAAAATATATGATAAGTTACGAATTTAAAGAAATAATACCTGCATGGTTTCTTTTCTTATAGTACCACTGTTGAATAGAGGCTCGAAAAAACTCTATTAAAATAGTAATGGGTAATTTCCGGGAATGACGACTTAGAACGTTGATTGATTCTGCACTATTAGACGTCATGAAACCATATCTTGCTCCAAGTTAATGTACTCTTGACCATCTTTCAAACCCGACATCTTCTAGTGTTTGAGCACACTGAGGCAAAACACGTCTTAAACAATTTATATGCTTATTAAAATCCACTTCCCGATAAGCTTTTACAGCCTTCCAATATGTCCATTTGTGATTTTTTATACCAGCAGACCTTGATTTTAGATTTCTATATAAATGAATACCACAAAGTCCATGAAAAGCATCTGGGAAACACCTTCTAACAGTGTTTTCAATTGAGTTTGCCCTATCGGATATGATTTTCAGATTGCTAATAGGACCTATGCAATCCCTAAGATAACCATGTCCATGAATCAGAGGTTTTAGATTTGCCAACCTCGTAAGCTATTGGCAGTATCCCATTGTTAGCATCCATGGCTACTGCTAATAAGTTTACTCCAAGGTATCGACCTTTTAAATGTGCTCCGTCAACTATAATAACTGGGCGCATACAAGTAATAAACGAACGAATCTACAAAATCATATACACAAGAAATATAATCATTTAAATGTGAAATGCATGTAACTAACAAAAATGAGTCAACAAAATTATATTGATTTACTAACCGCAGCACCAATGGCGATAAACAGCAACTCAAAGCGTCCATCTCTATCTGTTTTGATATGAGTTACCGACCCAGGATTTTTCAGCTTTAAATTGTGACAATAAGCCGGCATATGGGCAAACGATGCTTCTGGCGACCCCCTCAACAATTCCAAGGCATAACATTTGGCTCTCCAAGCTTGAGAATATGAGATACTAATCTTGAACCGAGCATTCATGTCAGTCATAATTTCATGTCCCCGATATACCCTGCCATTCAAAAACATTAACTCAGCCAGAAAACGACCCAACACCTTTTTGTTTGCCTATCTATGGTGAGGAAAAACTTGGGTTCTTGAACATGTATGTTTATCAATAAAAGTCCTAACTTGAAACATTTCGCAATCTTTTATCCTCTTTACAATCATACGCCACGTACAGTTTTTGTCAATCATACACCTTGTTTCGAAACGATCTTTGCTTGATTTGTTAACTTTTAGTTGATAGCCATCTTCCACACATTTCGTATACAAAGCTATCTTCAAGTCTTCCTTTGTATCAAAACAATCATCTTTCTTGATACGAATAATTTTTGTGTAACAATCAACTGCTATTTTTACCAACTCTTCTTCCGGTATCTGAAGTAATTCTGGCATATTCCAGTTATACTCTCATGGCATTTTATTCGGGGACTTTTCTTCGGGGATTTCTTCTTATTCTTTTTATTCTTCAGGGTTATATGAATTACAGAATGGATGTTCAACATGTTCATTCACAGTCGTAACTTCCTCCTCATTATCATCAACAATATCTTCCTCGGCAGTGGTTGTTTCATCATCAAAATTCGGGTATTGATCAATATCAAAATCATTACACGCAGGGTCTGTTTCTTCTTCTGAAACATCATCAAAATCCGAGTATTGACCAAGATCAAAGTCCGGGTATTGACCAAGATCAAATTTTGAATACCGACTAGTACTCACAATTTTTTCTGTTGGCTCATCATCGTCTAACTGGTTAATACGAAAACCGGAATTTGGTGCTGAAAGTTGATTGGGATTTGGATTAGGGAAAGGTTGTGGGTTTTGAGATTGTGTTTGGTATTGGAAATGTGGTGAAACAAAATTTGCTTGGTGATGAAATTGTGGTGGAACCATTAAATTTTGAGCATCATAAACTGGGGTTGAAAAACTTAGTTGATTACTACCCGCTACTGACCCAACTTCACTACTTCTAGGTTCAACAACATACAATGTAACATCATATTGCGAAACACTAATGTAAGCAATGAATCGTTCAACATCTTCATTGTCTTGTTAACAAATAAACTTTACATTTTCTCTGATAAGATAGCCTAAATCCACTTAAGGTCACTAAATTCAATTTATTTGCAACACGTAACATTAGAGTTTCATAAGTTAACTTTTTTAATGACAGTTTTAGTTGAAGATTCATGGGTAAAGGCATATATTGTAAAACACCATGAACATTCTCCCATGACCCTCCAAAACACAAATCTATCCAAACATGATCAACATTAGATGATTTCATTATTGTAAATTAATTTACTAAACAAACGAGCTGCGAAACTAAAACATGTTGCCGGATGAGGAAGGATGTCGTTGGATATAAGAACGGATGTCGCCGGAGAGAGTGATAGATGGAGATGGAATGAGTTGCGATTTATGGATTTAGGTTATGAGTTGCTTATGCTGCGTAGTTATATACCCAAAACATTTGTGTTGCGAAACTAAAACCTGTTGCGAATTTGAAATTCAGTGTTGCGACAGTCAGAATCGCGTTGCGATAGTCAGAATCGCATTGCGATTTGCATATTCGCATTGCGATTTCATATTCGCATTGCGATTTCATATTCACATTGCGATAGTCGGAAAATCGCAACGCGAATTTGGAAAATCGCAATGCGAATCTGGAAACTGATTTGCAATACCAGAGATCGCGTTGCGAATTATCGATCGCATTGCGATTTAGTTGGTCATTTTGGCAAATCCAAAAAAAAATTGGTTAAAATCTTATATTATAAGGTATTTTTGATCACTGAAATTATTTTCTCTATAAATTATTATAAAATAATTTTTTAATAATGGCATTTAAGTAAGTAAATCAGATAATTCGATTTCATAAAATTAAAATATCGAGTAGCGGCAAAAAACGTGCCGTCCACAGTTGGTGGATATAGCTAAGGTAGTTGACAATTATCCTGTAAAACTGCAAAATCTGTCGGGACACATCAACGGTCAAAATCGTTCAAGATGAGTACAAGATCAAGTAAAGCGGAAATAATCTAGAATGGTGGCCAGCAAAAAAAAGCTACGTATAATAAAATATCAACTACTTTTCCCATTGATCTCCACTGTTGAGACGGCAAATCAATCATCAATCATCAATCACCTTCTTGAATGTGTCCTCCCCAAATCCAAGCTCATCTCTTAGTAGTATAACTCAAAGGTAAACAATAAATTTGTCAAAATATTGGAACCAAAGTTTACATTGCGAGTCGAGATGAAGGATGAGGACAGTCGGCCGACATCGGCGACAGCGAATTTGAAAAAGGAAAGTTCATGTTCCAGTTTATTTGGTAAAAGCCGGTACAAGTGCTGGGCATTAGCGGCCATTTTGTTGCTTGCATTATGGTCTATGTTCACCGGCACCGTTACTCTACGTTGGTCAGCGGGTAATCTGAACCGTCTTTCCGGTGATCTCCATGGTCCCTTCCACGGTGACATAGATGTCCTCGTATGTTCCTCTCAATTGTTTTGTTTTCTTCGTTTCTAAGTTTGCTTTTTATCTAAAAAAATTTATTTCTCAATTGTTCTGTTTTTCTTGGTAGGAAATGGAGGAGAGAGAGAAAATGGTGAGGCACATGTGGGATGCGTACACTAACAGCCGTCGGATCAAATTACCGAGGTTTTGGCAAGAGGCGTTTAAGGCTGGTTACGAGGAGTTGACCAGTGATGTGCCCGGGATTAGAGAAGACGCAATCACTGAGATCGCTAAGATGTCCATACGATCCGTGGATCTTTACCATCCTCGCATCCAATCAATGGTAAGAATTCAGGGTTTTCTTCCTATGTGAATTAATTATTTGCTGCATGTTATCATTTTTTTCGTTCTTATCTTAGTTTTTGGTGATATAGAATAATTGTGGCTATTCAAGCATTAATGATGTTCCAATATTCCTAAATTGGATTTCCCTTCATTAGAAGTGATTTTACTGCCTTCTAATATTTGTTTCTACATTTACCAAATTTAGATGAATATGCAATTTCAATTTCATTCAATTTTCTTCATAACGCCATTGTTGCCTACTTTGCAGTCTGTAGACAATAAATTAACCTGTTTGACTGTTTATCTTCATTTTGTTCCAAGAAAGACTATTAAATTTGGTTGCTAATCTTTTAGAGTCAATGTGTTCCTGATTTGCCTTTCTAGCTAAGTTATTTTTCTTATTGTCTCTATCAATTCTGTTCGTGGATTAAAGATTTTTTTTTAAATAATGTATTGTACCTCTTGGCCTCGATTGGTATAAGAGATCAGTGCCGAGTTTTGACAAAGCTTTAATTAATCTTAATCTTGAGCATTTTAAGTTTTGGAGTTTGAACCCAATTAAGTGACCTTTTCCATGGTGCTGTGAGGATGTTGGAATGTTTCTCTTGACATAATTTTATAAGGGGATAGAGATGTAAGATTCGGTGGTTCAAGTTCATCTATTAGTGAGTTCTTTAGTTTGAATGGCTCAAGTAGTATGAATAAGTCAATTGAATTAAATCAATGGTTAGTAAAGTTTCACATAGAAAGGCATTCAAATAGATCTGATTAGTTCAATGAACTAATATGTAGATCTATCCCCTCAACCAGTTTGACAGTTGGAGCTTATAATCTGAATTTGACATGAATTCTTAGATGAAGACATTCCTTGGTGCTACATTTTACTACGTTTTTAGGGAGACAAATAAGGAACAGGGGTCTTTTTCAATTATTCTTCCGATCATTTGCATTTTAATTTGATGAGCCATGGGGATTTTCTGGACTTAAGAGCCAGTTTATCTAATAGAGTATGAAGAGAGAATGTGATCACGGGTAGACAATATCGACTGCGATTGTAATCCTAAATTGTTTGCCCTCCTAATTGACTAGAGTGAACAATCTGCATGATCCTGCCCCCTAGTTTTCCTTCTCTTGCAATCAATGTTTTCATCATGGTTGAAGCTTATTGGCATCAGGCATCATAGTAGAAAGACTTTTCCTTTTGGATTTGATTGTAGAAGTAAAATTGCAGTTCGGAACAATTGAAGGAAACAAGCTTATTATAGAAATAGTAACTTCTAAATTTTATATTCATTATCTGTTTGTTTGCACTTGTTAGCTTTGTAGAGAGAGACATGCATGAAATTTTGCAGTGGCCATGAGACTTTCCTTACCATTTATGTTGGCAGAGTGTAAGAGAACCCAGGAAAAGTCTGAAACAAACCAGCATGGACAGGTAGACCCACAACTGGAAGTGTGATCAATGAATGATGTTTATCATGAATGCCGAATCTGAGGCTTCAAAGTTGAGATCTTTGTTACACTTTTGTACTCTGGTTTTGGCTGTGTGCTGCCCAAGTTTGTAAGAGGTAACTAATGATTGGCAAAACCATATAATTCTTCTCGAACTATGTATTTATTTAGGCAGGGTCTCAGTTCTTCCTCTTCTTCTGTCATGACCTTTATTCTTTGTTCTGTGTGGTAAATCTGGAAAATCTTCTTACATCAACCTGATAAACCAACCTTTAAAGCGCAATTTTGTTATTATTTTAATTGCGTAATATATATTTTAATTAATACTCATTTTTTTAGTAGTGCAATCGAAAAACAAATGCCTCCATTAGTTTTGAATATCATTTAGAAAATTAGAAATACACGATACGAATAAATAAACTTAAAATTGGAAGAAATTAATTTCTATGAATATCTGTCATATGCAACTGTTTTGGGTTTGAAAGTAGTAGGCTGGGCCGTGATTCGACGGTGCTTAGCCAATCCAGCTGTCCACAACAAACGTGTGTGGCACTTGCGTAATTTATTTAAACTCCAGTGGTATTCTTCTAATCTTCCTGATATTTTAACTTCAACGGACGTATAAAAAATTTGAAGGTTCGTCGTGTTTGTGCCTGCTCATTTTCTCTCGTGTGCCTGTATCTATGTAGAAAACAAACACACCCACTTTCGATTCTCACCGTCCATTTTATCCGCGTCACCGATCCGTATCTTCCTCAATCCAACGGCTTTCCAGTCTTTCAATAATTCACGAAACCACTGCCTTACCTCAACCCCCACTCCCTTGAACAAAACCGCACCCTTAGGCCTTAACCCTAGCCAGGAACAACGAGCCCCAATGGCCCCATCCTTTCCAATGGAGTAGAGGTTCATCAACTCTCGACGCCCATAAGTACACGTCTCTAATTATAAGCGGAAAAAATTATACAAAAACAGGAGAGAGAGAGGGAAAGAGGGAGAGGGAGAGGGAGGGGGAGAGTGAGAGAGAGAAAATTGAGATTGGAATTTTTTTTCTTCTCTTTAATTTGGTGTTTTTATCAAAAAAAAATTATACAAATATATATTATTTATCTATCAGACTCCCTTTCTCTAAATACTATCGAATATAGCCCCATTTGATAGTAAAACGCGATTGACCAAATGTGTCTTGCACACGTGGATGGAAGTTGCGGATCATCAAGCATGTCTTCCGTTAGAGTTGGCATCACGGCAGTAAAGTGTGATACTCAGGCACGCCTTTAATAAGATTCTGACACGTGCTGGTCTACGCCTTCCATTATTTTCAAAAATTATTATCCCTTCAATTATTTACCCAAGTCAACAATCAATCATCCACTCCCCTATAAATATATCCCCAAATATAATCGAACCACACATAAGTCCAACGATATTTTACTTTTATCAATTCCTTTTATCAAGTTAAGTAAATTTTTTTATAGTTTTTAGAAGTTATAATTATTTTTATTATATTATATTTATTTCATATTGAAAAGTTTGACCAAATTTTATTGTATTAATTATTTTTTATTTCTTTTTGCAGTTGTAAAATGGAAGACGTAATCATATATTGATGTATTTTATCGATACAATAATAATATTAAATTATGTTATTTTAAATTATTGTGAATATTTTAAATTTTGTTAGTATTAGTTTATATTTTAATTTGTATATCAGAAAAAAGTAATGTCATTTTTTGTAGATATAAGATTCACAATCTTTTAAACTCTCAAACTATCAAAATGAGGCGTATTTCAACTATTGTTTATTATGGTGAAGAAATTCGAGAAGATGAAACCGACGTTGTCTTCGCATCAAATCATTCTGTCAGCTTATCCTTCAAAAGGAACATCACTCTTGAGGAGCTAATCACTAAAATTTCAAAGAATGCTCATGTTGGAAGTACTAGAAGATTGTCCCTACTTCAGTTCAAATTTTCAACATCACTATTTTCGTTAACTTATACATCGTTCAAATTCTCCAACGATGACAATGTTGTTATGATGATTGATGCTCAGAATCAAAATTCAGACGTTGTTACACAAATGTATGCCACATTTGTTGAAGTATATGATGATCGTGGTATATCATTATGCTTTCACTATGGGCTGGCTCAACAAGCTGATCAAGTTGACAGCCCAACTCAAGTAATGTGTAACGATTTTAACTCGTTAATGGGAAATCCACATCCTAGTATCATCCCATAAAGTTCAATAGAGATACATTCATCAGCAACTTGTTATGATCTCTACCGAGGCGGCTCCACGAACAATCCATATGGCAACATCATTTCCAGTTCAAGGGGAAGGCATTCATCTGTCAATTTTTTTGACCTGAATATGGAGATTCCCTCGACCCAACAATCTGCTCAGTACCCATTTGACATGATGCATTCAAGTTCCAGGGGAGGCATTCAACTACGAGCTTCTTCGACCTCAATGTGGAGATACTTGCGATACAACGCTCATTTCAAAACCCGTTTGACACAATGCCTTCAAGTTCAAGGTGAAGGCATTCATCTGTCATCTTGTTCGACCTAAATATCGGCATCATAGAGGAACCATCATCTTTACCAGAAGAATATCTTCGTGAGCCAAATCATGATGGTATTGAGACTAAACTATCCATTGAGCCCGAATCACCACAGTTCAACATGGACTCCGATGATGATAATGTAGATGAAGTTCTCACAAATACGATACACATCAATCCTCCAACACACATGTATGAAGCTGACTACGATGCATTGTACGAGCCAAAATTTACGGATATGCCTAATGTTGGTGAGTAAGGATTTAACTCATCAGTCAATTATGATGAGTTATATAAGGGAACAGAGTTTCCATCCAAAAGAATAAACGATGATTGCAATTAAGAATTACAACATTCATAATTCTATTCACTCCAGAGTCGACCGATCAACCAACGAAAAGTATGTCTGCTATAGCGTCCAACGTGATAACGGATGCAATTGGATGGTTTGTGTATCGAAGAGGAAAAAGAAAAACAACATATGGGAACTAAAAGTATACAATGTTCCTCATACATACTGTGCTAAACGGATCAACCATGATCATCCCAACTTGGACTCCGACATTATCTGTTAAGCCATCATGCCTATGGTCAAAGCAAGCTCTCATATAGCTATTGCGGTGTTGATTTCAACTATATCGTCTCAATATGGAAGACAAAGCAGAATGTCATTAAAAAACATCACGATGAGTGGGATTCATCTTACAACAAACTACCAAGTTGGTTTAACATAGCGCACAGATTGAATCCTGGGACAATAGTCGACTTCGATACTTTCCATACATATCACAATGATCAATGCCATGCATACCACAATGTAGTATACCCATGTATAGAGGCGGGCTGGGTATGTAAACTGATGTAGATTGTGCATGTTGTGATAGTTTCTATCGGGCAGTTGAGAACGAGCCAAAAGCATCTGCTCTCCGACCACTAGTCGGGGGATGATGATGATGTGACGATGGATTATTTTCTCTACGCCGATGAATGCTCCTACCTCGTGCTTCCTCGAAAAGTATGAATGGCTTCCCGAACGTGTTGAACCACTAATAATAGTCAGTCGTAACTGAATAATTATCCACATAAATCGACTTCCTATTAGGAATGGATCCACGTCGATCCTCCCAGATCACTATCCATTTCTTGTGCTTTATCAATCAGTTGACATCCTTTTTTGCCCATTCTATCAACGTTATGTAAATGGTCGAGATTTCTATGTGTTTCAGGAATATATTATACGAATCCAAATTGGTGGAACATGCGATCAACAAGATGTCACTCGATAATAACATAACATATCAGAAGGACCACCTCCATCCATACATCTAATAAGCCACTCAAGTGAGGTGGGATGCACAACTTCATTTCTTCAATAGAATAAGTAGCCTATTCAAACTAAAACAAATATATATATAATTCTTATAAATAAAATATTCTAATTATATAACGATAATTAAAGGTAAATAATAAAATTTAAATGCATATATCTGTATCAACATTCTGATCAATGAGTAGCTGAATTTCTTCCAATTCGTTTGGTATATCACGATGATATTTCCTTCAACATGACCATATATTCAATGTAAAAAAATTAATTATATACTCGCAAAAAATTATTTATATACGAATTCAGTATTGAAATTACCTCAACAAATACGGAAAGACCAACGGGTTATTCACGATTGGACATAAAAAGGGCATGTGATACCACACCCAAGATTGGAGAATAATGAGACATCCGCCGATAGCATTTTTTTAGATAATCAGTTGCCCAACATATTTATCTATACAGAGATGCCAAACTGCTGAGCCCCAAAAGAGTGAGCCAACAACGTAAAAATTATCAAGGTGATGCAATCGCATACAATGAACTTGGTTTCAACATTTCTTAGACATCAAGATCCCTCCTATGAGTTGTAATATGCAAGCATATTCCTTGGAACAGTCTTCACTCAAATTTTTAAATTTGTAGTCAATCATGCTAACGGTATTTGATCATCGTTGAAAGTATGTGGGATACCTCCAAGATACTCCTCGCACAATGAATGTCAGTCGCCATCCGCCACACCAAAAATAAAAGTCCCATCTATCGAAAACCCCAAATGTATAGAAATATCCTCTAGCGTAATAGTGCATTCCCTACACGAAAGATGTAATGTGTGTGTCTCTGATCTCCACCTCTCAATGAGTGCAAAAATATGGAGAAGTTTAATGTTATAGTGCCCTTTATCTCGCTATGTAACCGAATATAGCCTCAGTTAAATACGGCCAGACATTATTCGATATCTCTAACTTAATGTTATGAATAAATAGATATAATATATGGTCATTATCCTAATTAAATAAATAATATATAAATTAAAATCTAAACTAATACTAAAATAAATAAATAAATAAAACATTCATAATAATTAAAATAACACAATTTAAATTTGTTATTGTATAAGCAAAATAATTGGACATAAGATTTCCATCTAAACTCAGTAACCTAATTTTTATTTTATAACTGCAAAAATCAATAAAAATTAATACAATAAAATAAAATAAAATAATAAATTATTAAATGATTATAATATAATAATAAAAACTTTATACCCATGG